CACGCCTATCATTTGGGGAAGACTTGGACGGAGTGGCAGGAGGAAATCATGTGTGCAAATGTGTCCATTGCCAAGTCGTTGGATGCAGTTGCTGTTGAACCTGTACTTCCGCCCTCGTCGCCTGCGCCCACACCTCAAATTTCCCCCCCTGCACCTCTTGTTTTCCGCCGACAGCGACGCCGCCGCGGGTCATCCAAGTCGGACGCATCTCTTCCTTCCTCTCCCATCTCACCTCCGCGGAAAATGAGCAGTCTAGACGATGACGGTGTCCCTAAAGCATGTTGGCGTTTTGGCGGGTTCTCATTTGGAGATCGAAAGAAGAAATGAGTGGGAGTACATTTTTTTATTCTTTCATATTATGTCGAGCTGGCTATCCCTCCCATAATTTTATGCCTATCATAATTGTGAACAGCTCTTTGTCGTTATTATTAATAAACTTGATTTTCGGCGAGAAACGGTACCTTCCTTTTTTGGCGTGATCGACTTGCCGTGTAACGCGCCTCGATTCGGCTTGAGTGCTGAACTCTGTTCACAGCGATGTGGAGGTCCTGTACATCCATGGCAGGGATGTTTGCTAGCCCGACCTTGTCGAGGAGCATCCTCGTATGTTTTGGTTCAAGCTTTCTTCCAATTTGTCCGATTTTCATGATTTTTCTGTAGCAGGTCTCTAATTTGCATCGCGGACTGGCTACTCATCTAGCACGCGCATCGGCCTCTGCTTCTGCGCTTAACACTCGGCCGCCGCCACCGACAGCATCTCGGTCCGTCCCAGAGGTCTTGTCCGATGACCTTCCCATGATAAGCATGGATGGTCGCAAGGTCGCGGTGGGCTGGGACACGCGAACATGGTCTCGGTTGTGCGCATTCCGTCTTGGATTCCAATTCATTCTGCTAAGAGGGTAATAAGTCACAATATCTGGCTGCGAGACCATTGCCGCTGTCCAGAGTGCTATCACGCTATCACAAAACAGCGATTGCTCAACACTTTTGAGGTCGGCATTACCCAGGTCCCAGGTTATTCATCTTCGGATCATCCTGAGCATTCCTAGATACCTCCCGATATTACACCCACTCAAGTCGAGCCGACGGCGGACGGTCTTAAAGTGTCATGTACGAATCATAAACACGGCCGTTTGCGTCGACCCTCAATCGTCGTTACCAGGGCCATCATCAGAACCACATATATCGCTGTATCCGTGGTCATGGCTTCAGCAAAATTCCTATGACCCGCCTCTCCAACAAAGAGAGACTCAGTTGGAGTGAGTGCGTTATCAATAAACCAAAGTATCGTGCGCTTATCGGTTGTAGGAAAATTATGTGGAATTCAAAAATCCAAACCTCACCTCCTACAGTAACGTACGAGGAGGCAATGGCAGAGGACAATCGGGGGCTCTACAAATGGCTTTCCCATGTTGTAAGGAAGGCCAAGAGACATAATTTCCCTCGTCCTGAGTGTCCCATCTTAGGATCACTTCGGAATGTGCTTCGTATCTGGTGTCCCACCGACACCGGAAGCCACCGAGGAGCTATCCAAGCGCATAGGTTTCATCCGTGAAACGCAATGTAGACTCGTTCTATCGCATCACTTGTGCAATCTCACGAGCGATTTTCTAGACGGCAAATTTTGGGACTTTACTTCGGATCTGGCAAAGGGCGACACTGCATACACCACATTAGCGCTCGGTGCACACACAGACAACACATATTTCGTGCGCCCCTTTATCCATGTTGCGTCCCAGAATTTATCATTATCGTAGACCGACCCGTGCGGCCTCCAGCTGTTTCACCTTCTTTCGCACACCGAAGGTTCCGGTGGATCTACGCTACTAGTTGACGGCTTCTATGTCGCCTCTATCCTCAAGGAGCTGCACCCTGACGTATACTCTATCCTGGCCCGTACTCCCGTCTCTGCGCATGCGGCTGGGGAACCGTCGTCCCTCTACCGACCTTATCCCATCTCAGGATATCCTGTGCTCGGGCACGATCCGGTGACTGGAGAACTCATCCAAGTGCGGTGGAACAATGATGACCGAAGCGTCATGAAAAATCTGGATCCCTATCAAGTCGAGGAGTGGTATAATGCCATTCGAACGTGGCACAAACTCCTCACAAGTGATGACTCGGAGTACTGGGTTCAATTGGGTCCAGGGACCGCCGTTAGTGCGTATGCCGTCCTTTTCTCCGTTTCACCAGCTTATTTTGCTTGAAGTCATTGACAACCACCGTGTCCTGCATGGTCGCTCCGCATTCACAGGCAAGCGACGTATGTGCGGCGCGTACATCGGCGTTGACGAATATCGTTCCACGCTTGCCGTTCTGCGCGAAAAATTCGCACCGGGTCCTGGTGGACAGGACGAAGGGCGAAGCGTCTGGAACCCTGCTCTTTAGTTATCTCATCATCGCTGAACACTCATCTGTACCACCACGACATCATCACTTATATATGTCCTTTACTGTAAACGGTTCTATAAAAACCGCCCTGTACACACCCATGTAATCTCTTTTGCTTTCCAGTGTTGCCTCCTGCTACACATCTTTTCCATGAAAATACGAGGGTCCTATTTGATACAACGGGAAATACTATGAAAATATTCAATACTTTTTGCAACGCCGGCCCCTTCAGACGGTTGCCTGCGCCTCCGCGCCTTGGATCTCCTTCAAAATGAAGCCTTCTAGCCCCCCGCACACCCAAAGCTCCTGCACGCTTGCACCGACTGGTTTTACGCTGTAAGCCTTTTCCGTCAAGCCTGCCACACCCCCATCTATCGTTAACACGACCTGGCCATCCTCCATCCCCACGACCAGACGGAAGCCCCGCTCCACGGTCAACTCGCCCTGCAGGCCCCCAACACCCCGCGTGCCGCCCTTTGCGTAGCTCTTCGTTAAATCCGCGACGAGCTCCGGGCACTCCAAGCACACGAGGCCGTTATTGATCGCATTGCGTTTGAATATGTCACCAAACGAGCCCGCGATCACCACTGGGATCCCCGCAGATTTAAGCGCCGTCGCGGCCTGCTCGCGCGACGACCCCGTGCCAAAGTTGTATCCCGACACTAATATCACGCCTGTCGCCGTTTCCTCGTCCCTGGAGTGTTGTTTCTGCGACAACGAGGCGACGAGCGCTGCAAAGCCGGGGTCGTAGTTCTCCATGACGACTTCTGCCTGCCGCTGGAGGGTTATGTCGTCCTGGTACGTATATTTTCCTGGGTATATGGCATCCGTGTTGAGATTGTCTTGGGGTGCAAATACAAGGGGACCAGCGAAGGCTTTGGGGAACCCGGGCAAGACAGGGTCGTTCGCTTGTGACGTGGGGAGGGTGGAGTTAACAGGTTGATTTGATATCGAAAAAGTCGGCGCCTTTACAGGAGGGAGGGTTGCGGCATCAAGGGAGGCAGGGCCACAAATGTACCCTTTGATGGCGCTCGCAGCCACGACGGCCGGGCTCGCCAGGTAAGCGAGCGCTTTCGGGTGCCCCATCCGTCCCTTGTAATTGCGGTTGGTGGCACTAATGCCTGTTTGACCCTCTTCGAGCAATCCGGTGCCCAATCCGATACACGGACCGCATCCAGCGGGGAGGACTTTGGCACCGGATCGAACGAGTGCGTCCCAGTCGCCTAGTTTCTCGGACTCCAGCTGTACAGCAGAACTGGCGGCAGCTATGTAAAACTCGACGCCAGGTGCAACCTTGTTTCCTCGCATTACGTCGGCGGCGGCGGCGATGTCGGAGACTCGAGAATTCGTGCAGCTAACAAGGTAAGCCTTCTGAATCGCTACGCGCGACGCTTCGAGGGTAGGAAGAGGGGTGGATATTTTAACGGTGTTCGGACCAGAGACGTGGGGAACCAGGGTTGAGAGATCGAATATGAGATGGGAAGAGTACGATGCGTCAGGATCGGACTGTAAATTAGTGGAACGAAGGGTATCGAGGCGTCGCCGATGGATACGAGGATGTTCGGGTGGGGGCGGAATTAAAGATGCCAATTCAGGCGTCGAAAATGTCCGAAACTCGAGTTTGGTTAGAACCCGATCGTACCATTGCAGGAGCGTCTCGTCCACAGGAAATACGCCAACCAGGGCTCCCCATTCGGTTGTCATGTTGGCTATCGTGAGGCGTTCGTCGACGCTCAAGGTCGCAACTCCGTCACCTGTGAACTCTATGGCAGCATTGAGAACCTCGTCGTTGTTGAAGGAGCTACACAATGCAACAATAACATCCTTGCCCGTGACACCCGGAGCGAGTTTTCCTCTCAGCTCGACTTTGACCATGCGCGGAACTTGCCACCAAGTTTTGCCTGTTGCCCAAAGCGCCGCCGCGTCCGTGCGGACGATCGGCGTCCCTACACATCCTACACCACCGTACATGTTGCTGTGGCTGTCGCTTGCAACGGTGAGGGTGTGCGGGAAAGCGTAGCCTTCTTCGACCAGAACTTGGTGACCGATGCCTCGTCCGGCAGGATAGAAATCAATTTTGTGCTGCCGCGCGAATTCTTCAATCGACGCGTATTTCGAAAGATTCTTTGCGGACCGGTTCTGTACATCGTGGTCAAGGGTGAAGACAGGCTGCACGGGATTCTGGATTCGCGTCGCGCCAATCGACTTGAACCTGGTGGTGCATTTTTTGTGTGCTTTCAAGAGGGAAAAGGACTGGAACACACTTGGATATGACAGGGCCAGTATTGTCGTGGGTCATGACATGCTCAGGGCGTATCATGACATAGTCCCCTGCCTTGACCGCCTTGCCTGCAGGAAGTCCGACTGCATACTTTTGAACAACCTTTTCGATGACAGTTTGAGGGACACGAGGACCCGAGCTGACAGCGGTCGCGAAACCGCGCGTTCGAGCCCACCGACCGAGATGGTGGGAGTGCATGTTGCAACTTTCTGTGAGGTCCTGTATTCGGAGCACTCGGTTTATGAGACTCAAATTCTCGGCCGACACAACTCCACTCGAACAGCGATTTCACACCCTATAGCAATCCACGACATCTCAAGTTATAATAGCGCCGGTGGTGTATCGGTAACATTGGGTCTTCCCACGAAAAATAAAAATTACGCAATCCGTTACGTAATTTGACGTGGCCTAGCACCGGGTTCGACTCCCGGCCGGCGCACTTTTTCAGCGTCTTTTCTTTTTTCGCTATCGCCGTCACTCGACTGTAATTCCTGTTATTTTCTTGTCATGCCCAGCCGGTACAGAATCGGTGTAGATGTTGGAGGTAAGGCCAATATACATTCCAAATCCTCTTTTGACCGTTGGATAGGCACAAATACCGATGGCGTTATAATAGATATCACAAAGACCTCCGACCCATTGACACGGGGAGTTGTAGCCAGCTTCAAGCATGCGACTACTGTGAATGTAACGGACGGGATAGAAGCCGCCGTGAGGAGGGTCATGGCCGATTCCAATATCGATCCACAGGGCGGGGAGATTCTCAGCTTGACCATTGGAACTACAGTGCGTGGAAACTGAGGTAATTCCCCCGAATGGTCTGTCCGATTCAAGTATCAGCACTTTGTCAACGCCGTCGTGCAAGCAGATTCAAGGAGGTTATCCAAAGTGGCTGTCATACGACTTGCCGCTCCCTACACTTTTGAAACTCCGTCGGCAAGTTCAAAACTAGAGCTCTCTTGATTCATTTTGACATTCCATAGTTTGCTGACTTTCCTCCGCACCTGGAAGCACTCATGAACGGCCATACCGCCATTATCAAAGGAGGGTTGCAGATGTGTGTATATCTCGGCACAAAATTCTAACTATGCTAAGTCGGCTTTGAGTGATGGTCGCTCAATCAACAAGATTGACGAAGCCGAAGTCATCGAACAAGCCCAGCAGATCAAAGCCAAGGGTCTCAAGGACATTGTACTCGTCGGTGTCTGTCAGATTTTCCCCTGCCGTTGCTGCCATCTCGTCTGAAAGACTCTCCCAGTCTCCCCGTTGGACATCAACGGGCAGAACGAATACTTAGCCCGGGATATCCTCCTTCGAGAACTTGGACCGAACGTGAACATTGTTTGCTCTCGCGATGGTCTCCGAATATACATTGCCGAGAGATCCAACTGACATACCTGTCCTAGTTGCCCAAGTGGGCTTTATCGAGCGTGAAAATGCGTCCATCCTTAACGCGTCCATTGGTACATTCGCACAGCGTACAATCCGTGGATTCGAGAACGCTATGAAGCGGCTTGGACTGGTCTGCCCCCTGTACCTCACTCAGGTTTGTTTGGGGGGTTTTGCGGACTCGTTGCACGCCCTTATTTTTCTTCCCTCCCAGAACGATAGGACACTTACTAGCGCGTTGGACGCATCTCGCCTACCAGTGCGCACTTTCTCCTCTGGCGCTACTAATTCAATGCGCGGTTGGTCCACTACCATTTTGTATAGTCTTTCTTCCTAATCTGCGTGAAGGTGCCTCGTTCTTGGCAGGGATTGATTTAAGAAAGAAAGACGAAGGGATGGCAAAGAGTATGATTGTAGTAGATGTTGGTGGAACAACGACAGACGTTGGTGTGTTGCTGCCCAGCGGGTTCCCTCGGCAGGCCGCCGCGTTCATCGAAGGTTCGTTTGGTCAATTCTTCAGGTGCTCGACTGACGCCGAGCACAGTGGCGGGCGTTAGAACAAAGCAAGCGCGCCAAAAACATTTTTTGTATCGATTCTTACCATTGCGTTGTAGTTTCTCGATGCCCGATGTCAATTCTATCGGCTTGGGCGGAGGCTCCAGAGTTCGGATAGCCCCCGACCGTCGTGTCACTGTTGGACCAGACTCCGTCGGCCACTACGTTTGGCGTGTTCCCCATCTCTCTCTTGCCGCTCTGACACCTCGTCTCAGCTGACCCGCGACGCCAAAGTGTTCGGAGGAGAAGTACTGACAGCCACTGACATTTGTGTGCGTGCCGGCGCCGGAGGCATTGGCGATGCGGCCAAAGTCGCAGACATTGCTAATGACGTGGTCTCGCAAGCCAGGGTGGTCATGAAAAAATTGCTCGAGGTTTGCACTTAATCCCTCGGCTGAGGATTGAATACATAATTATCTTGTCGTTAGAACGTCGTGGACCTGATGAAAACCAGCCCCGAGGACTGCACTCTTTTACTCGTCGGTGGTGGCTCCATTATTGTCCCCCCGGAGCTCAAGGGAGTCGAGGAAGTCATGTATGATGTTTTTGCGATTCTGTCCTTCAGCTGATTTCCATACACTTAGTCTACCGCCTTTCCACAGCGTGGCCAATGCCGTCGGCGCTGCTATTGCGAACGTTTCCGGGGACGTCGACACAATTGAGATATTGCAAGGTCGGAAACTTCCCGAAGTATTAGAGCAGATGAAAACGGTCGCCATTGAAAAGGCTGTCGCAGCAGGAGCTGAACCTAGCACTGTTTCCATCGCTGAGATTAATATCCTTCCTGTCCAGGTTCTTCTTCAATTGTCTCTCGTCTTCGTGTTTCTCATCTTCATGTCTGTAGTATGTTACTAATCAAGCCACCCGGCTCATCGTGAGGGCTGTCGGGGAACTTACAATTCCCAACGAGTCTACGGTCCCCCAAATCGAACGGGCATGTCATGCCGAGGTAGAGGAGGTACCCGAGTCAACTCAAGAGATCATTTTGGCCGGGAGCGACGGCTCAGCGGGGATCGATTATTTGTCTTATAGACCTAAGATTGTAGATAACGAGTGGATTTTGAACGAGATCGACTTGTGTAAGTTGCTGCGCGGATATTTCACTGTTTCTCACCCCTGTCCGCAGTCTTTATCCAGGAAGGATGTGGTGTCCTTGGGACGGTCAGTGACTCTGGCTGGATTCTTGTACGATGGCTCAAACTTGGAAAGGGTGGAGGCGGGAATCCATACCCGGCATATTTGAAGACGAGGCAGATGCTGCGCGAGGGAAAAGTCCTTCGGATAGTAGATCACTCGTCGCTCCCCGATGATGCATTTCTCGTCCGCGGAGGTGAATTCTTCTGCCGCCAGCTCAAGACCGGGGCTTACCCTTGTGCATAAGGTTATATGGGCTCTCCTTCCGTTGGCTCCGAACGCTTAATGCCAGGGGCTGCTATCTTCGAGGCTGGTATCGAACTCGCCAAGTTCTGCGGGGTGTCGAGCTTTGCCGCGACGTTGTGGTGAGCTGGAATACAAGTAGGAGTAAGAAAGTTCTTGATCTGGTTGCAAGCGATGAAATCGGAGGGAGTAACGGCATGCAATCGTTGGTTATGTCTGGTTTCTATGGAATACCAGCATTCGATGGTGATCTTATGGGCCGCGGTGTGTTCTCTGAGTCGCTACATAAAGACAACTCATGCATCTTCAGCGTATCCGAAACTCAACCAAGTCTTACCAGGTCTGTATCATTCTGAGATGACGTGCGAGGTCTCTGATTCACTTCCAGCCGTGTACGATCGACCAAACGCGTGTGTGCTTTCTGAAATCATATTCTTTCACCTCAACGGTAATCATGGGTAATAGCCTCGTTCCTGCTGCGTTGTGTGATGGGGACAGTAATATAATCGTGAGTTTCATTCCAGTTTGGTCTTGCCTTTCCTCTGACGAGACCCGAAAGCTTCTCACCAAAGTCAAGAATGAGTATATGGTTGAAACGCTAATGCGCACCGTGACGACAGAAATGGGGTCTTCAGCGGCTCTTTGCTGCCCTCCACTAGCCGTCAGCGACGCGCGTGACTACGGCGTACCCCGTACGCAGAGTCAAGCGTGGAGGATAGGAAGAGCCATATCTATTTGTCGGCAAACCAAGTAAGATCTCTTTCACTAGTCAGGGCGCGGAGCGGCACTGCCGAGCTCCTCTGGGCTGTGCCGGGTGACGGCGGCAGGCTGCCGAATATGGTCCGGTAGCTCTGGCAGCATCTGCCGCGCGGCCCCATGAACGCAATGTTTCCCGAGTTTCCGCTGAAGCTGACGGCCCACTTAGCAATATGAAGAGCGTCCCAGACTCGATCCTCCAGCTTCAAAACGGTGTTTGCCTCTTCATTGGCAAGATCGTCAGCTGCTCGCGGGTAAGAGTGCACCTGAAAATGAGAATTTATCTAAAGATGAGTTCACGCACTGGCAGGAAGTCCGTGCAGGCTTCACATGGGGAGAAATCCGAATTGCTCAGCTGTTCGAGGAAGAACTAGAAAGTCCTGTTGCAACACCTGCTGCTGCTGCTGGTGGCAGCCGTATGGTCATTCCGTTTCAAAACGAGAATTTGTGTGCCTACATCGAGAAAGACGATGGAACGAGAAGGGTATGTATTGCACTATTCAGCTCTATCGATGACGGGAAATTTTGTCTAGCTGGCCGCCATTGTCCCTGACTTGATTTCGGTTCTCGACTCCCAGAGTGGATCGAATCTCGGATCGCAAGATTGTGAGTTTCTGAATGGCCGTGTGTGTTTTCTGATCCCCCCTCGTCAAATAGACAGGTACGGTCTTCGGGTCACAGGTGATTTTTTGCGCTTAAACCGATAATTCGCTGATTGCAATAATGTAGTCATTGTCATGGCCGGAAGCCCCCTTTGGCATTCAGAAGCGGGGCTGGAAACCGGAGGTCCTGCCGCGTTTGGGTACGGAACAAGGCAGGTATCTAGTATGGAATTTGAGCTAACTAAATTTTGTCAGCTTTGATCACAGATTTGTACCGATTGGTGAATACCTCACGCCCCGTTCGGTTATTGAGGAGTACGGAGATGGAAAATAGTTGTAGAAGAGGCCCAGAATTATATCGAACACGCCCGAGGCCCCTGTTTAGGGGCCTGGAGTGAGGTTCCGAGAGAGATTGTTGTCGTGGTCTTCACATTTTAAGCTTATTGCAAAATTACGTGGCACTGTGCCTGGAGTCTTGCTTCTGACCCGCCGAGTCGACTCGTGGGTGACGGCTGCGTTAGTGTTCAAATTCCAAATGGCTGGCTGAATCCCAGCGGAAATCCCCAATGGGTCTAGCCTGGGCCCGACTTTGTCTGGGGTCCGATTGTCTACGAAAACCGAAAGGGAACGAGTTCGTCGTCGGATCGACTTGGTCAATGATCGGAGAGAGTCCTCCACAGCCCTTCCTCGCAAGCAGCGAGACGAGGGGCGGGTGTCGGAAGGGGGTTCCGTCAGCATGCAAATTGTAACGATTGGGAAA